ATTGTATAAAAGTCTTAAACTTTGTAGGACATTGCATTAGTTTCACATTAAGTTTAGCTGAATTAAGTTGAAAACTTTTTCCTATAAAACTATAAAGCCTGAGAGCTTCTCCGCTTTCCGCCCTTGGTCTCCAACCATATACCGGCCCCTTCCTTGTTCAAGATTCCCATATCTGCCACTGATATGTGCCCATGCATGCTTACGTAGGCATATTCAATTGATTTAGATGAGCGATTGGTAGATTTTATAATAGAATTCTGGCCCTGGAATGATTAAAAAAATTTACTAACTCCAGTGACGTAGCATCTTTTTTGAAAGAGGAGGTCAGCCAGAAAAAAAATCATTTACCCGAAAAAACTTGACAAGCCAAGAAAAAAAAATTCCAAACCCGAAAATCCTATTTCGTGGAGAGGGGTCCAACTTCGATCAGTCCCATTTTTTCCCAGATATATTATATTACCCTTAATGGACTATCTATACTTCAACAAGAAGTGGGGGTGGGGGCTGTACAGTTTCAATGAACATTACATTTCTATAGTAAAGTCATGTCTGGGAAAAGAGGGGGTTTGATATTATGTGCCTGTAATTTGTCCTAATCAATCAGGACCCCTCCCCCCTTCTTACCAGTCATTAAAACACGGTCGTCAACATTCATTATATACTAGATATACAGCTTTGAGATAATGTAAATGTATTTTAAAATCAGGTAATGAACTTTTGGAATCAACATGATAAAGAGTTAACACAATATAAAGATATTTTTAAATCACATAAGAAAGAGTTGACATAACGTAATTATATATCCACATTATGGAATAGAGTTTTGACATAATGTAATAAAGTATTGATATAATATAAAGATATGTTCACATTATGTTATACACTTTTTACACCACGTAATAAAGCACTGACATAAAGATAAGATGAGTTCACCTCATATCATGATGCTATAAATCCATATCACGTAATAATGCTTTGATATAATAGAAATAAACACTCTCAAAAAGGAGTGGGCTTTTGACTTCATGCAATGATAAGTTTAATTATAAAACACAATTTACTTGACGTAATGCATTTTTGACCTCACATATTAAAGAAATGAAATGATGTAAAGAAACATTCATTTCACGTAATAAAGTTTTAACACAATGTTAACACATTATCACTTCACATAATGAATTTTTTACTTCAAGTTATGAAGTGCTGACATAATGAAAGGATGTATTGACTTCATGTAATGCAGCATTGACATGATGTTAAGATATATTTACATCACCTCATAAAAAATGGACATAACGTAAAGATATGTTCACATCACGTAATGATAAATTGACATAATAAATGCATAGTTGTATGCTATAAGGCAGTGATGGCGTTCCATAGGCATTCAAATTATTTGTTATAGATTAAATTTTCAAAACTAAATAAGTAATGTGCTGTCATAGTTTTTTTTTTTGAACAGAGAAATGTATGAGAGAGAGAGAGAAAGATACCCTCAGTTCTCAGAAATCTGTTGTATCAAATAAAAATTCTTGTATTTCTTAAATATTCCAAGCAGTAAAGGTAATCATTTTTTTAGATTAACAAATCCATTTTACAGTAATCATTGCGTGGACCCTGAGGTCCACGCAGTAAATATATAAGCGAGGTTAAACCGGATGCCATGGGCAAACGACAAGCTACGCATGCGCGGGAATGCTAGAGAGTTCGCCCCCTTCGGCAACTTGCCCGTAGAATAATTCGCCCTTTTCGAATCAGAATATGCCATTCAATGGCAAATCGCGCTTTTAAATCCGCATATCGTATTTATGTACTCATTGGCGGATCCGAGTTTCTCTCTTATACATATACTTTTAATAAAAAAGTAAGAAGATCTTGCAGTTTATAGATACATGTAACTTAACAACATTAATAAAAACGTCATTCAACGACTAGTTCTAGCATTTAGAAGATAGAACAAGAATTCACCGGCATTAGTTTTGTGCATCAATGCTCGCAAAATAATTTGATATTTCAGCAATCCAAAAATCCAAATACTGTTTGATACAGGTCTGTAGCAACGGTTTTTAATGTGAGGGAGGGGGTTAGACAAAATAATCTGCGTACTACAGAGCTATGCTACACGTGTACCATCAGATCTATTTTTTCCATGATAGATTTTTTACGTATAATTCCAGAACAGGTGGGTTACATGTATCAAAATACCCGATTTTTTAAACTGACAAAACTAAAGGCTTAATCGGAGATACAATTTAACAATTTTGCTTTGAGACTACAATCAGTCATAAGTTGGCAGATCATTCGACCCATTGAAGAAAATGTGAACAAACCCACATGAATATTCACTACACCTAGAAATTTTCTTAAATTGAATTTCGGTTAGAAACACATGCATATGGTCCACGTATTGCAGTCCTTTTTTAAAGGACAGCAACTTGTTGGCTTTTATTTTCCTTTATCAAGTTCACACGGTTCACAGGACGTCCACGTGCTTGTCCTGTCAATCAAATCATTCGACACAGTGGAGGTGTGGAAATTGCGTTTCACCGAACATGCCGAAGGCAAAGAGTCACTTAATATTTCCAAGAAGTTTTAATATTTTTCCTTATCATTTCTAGATCTGATTTTTGCAATCTTACAGAAAAAATAAAAAAAAAAATAGTGGGAATATATACTTGGAAGGATTAAGTTTTAAATTGAATTTGAAACATATTCCCTGCCAATTTAAAATACTACTGTTGGCACAAGTGTATTCTAAAATACTATTGTTTGATGACTGTTTGATGTTGATTTAAAGACTGATTTTCTTGTGTTACAATGCACATTAAATATTAATTAAAATATACTGAAAATACTCACAAAGAATTTTATTTCGGGAGAAAAGGCACCGGGGGGTCTTAATTATACTAAATAACAAACATATATTTAGGTACGGTGAAGGAAGGAATTTTCCTTCTCTAATAATAGACTATTTTAAACAGTTGGTCTTTTCTAAAATCTCAAAATACTATCAATTTTATTAGTTCAAAAGATATTTAATTAATATTTGCAGTACTGTTCATAATTCTCAGACGTACGTGTAGTTTAATTAAAATACGTGATACTGTAGAATTAATTTTTTATGCATTCTTGCCTTGTAAAAGACTTGGTTTAATTATTATACATCCATTAATGATTTATCGTCTTAAACATTACAACAAATTCTTGCCGTGCGTGAAGCATTTGTAAATTGCCCTTTTTTTAAATTAAATATTTCAGCATCGTTCTACATACCTGTAGGTATTTAATGTATTATTGTCCAGGGAAATTTCATGAATAAAGTAACAGCTGAGTTATAATAATAGAAATATAAATATCATAGATAATTTTTGCAATGAAATAATTATTCTTAAAACACGATATCTAAGTTATTCAATTAAAACACGTATAAATCCTTACCATCAAAAAGATAAGTCCTTTCACTTCGGAGTTCCGAATAACAATGAAGACTGAACAATAAGTGAACGGTGAACGCAAGGTGAACGCAAAGTAAACGGAACGAAGAGCGAACGGTGAACGTTTTGTGAACGGTGAACGCGAGCGCACGGTGAACGGTGAACGCAATACTGTGAACGGAGAGCGAACGTTGAACGCAAACTGAACGAACGGTGAACGAATGCAGAGGGAACGGTGAACGAACAGTGAATGAATGGAAAAATGGGAAAGAAGAACGTTTCAGGGACTGTATGTCGAATTCAGCATCCGAAGCAAGTCCATTATGTACATAATGGCATGTATTGCCCATGCAAGTTTGCTCATTATAGGGCTCATAGTTAATTGGAAATGAGACCTGCATCAAAAACTAACCTTTTCACTCATCCACGAAATGTAGGTCAGATTCAGCATCCGAAGCAAGCCTGGTATTATACATCCTTATATGTATCATCCATACAAAATTGGTCATTGAAGAACTCATTGTTACTTGGAAATGAATCATGCACCAAAAACTTTAACCTGTTCACTCAACCAGAAAATGTAGGTCAGATTCAGCATCCAAAGCAAGCCTGGTAGTATGCATCCTTAGATGTATCATCCATGCAAGTTAAGTCATTATAGGGCTCATAGTATCTTAGAAATGAGACCTTCACCAAAACCTTTAACATGTTAACTCGACCTGAAAATGTAGGTCATGATCAGATTCAGCATCCGAAGCAAGCCTGTTAGTATGCATCGTTAGATGTATCATCCATGCAAGTTTGGTCATTATAGTGCTCATAGTTACTTGGAAATGAGACCTGCACCAAAAACTTTAACCTGTTAACTCAACCGGAAAATGTAGGTCATGATCAAATTCAGCATCCAAAGCAAGCCTGGTAGTATGCATCGTTAGATGTATCATCCGTGCAAGTTTGGTCATTATAGTGCTCATAGTTACTTGGAAATAAGACCTGCACCAAAAACATACACCTGTTCACTTAACCGGAAAATGTAGGTCAGATTCAGCATCTGAAGCAAGCCTGGTAGTGTGCATCCTTAGATGTATCATCCATGCAAGTTTGGTTAATATAGGGCTTATAGTTCCTTGGAAATGAGACCTACACCCAAAACTGCACCAAACATGTTAAAATGCTCCAAAAACATTTACCTGGTGATTCCTTTGCTGAAATTGCAGCATCTGAAACTTTGATTGGTACAATGAAACACACTAGAAGCATCTTCCATGCATGTCCAATCAATATAGGACATAGTACTTAAAAAGGAAAAACTGCTCCAAAAAACTTAACCTTAACCTGGGACGCTGACGCCGACACCGACGCTGACGCCGAGGGTATTACATAAACTCCCCCAACTTCGTTGAGGTGAGCTAAAAAGGTACTTTTGTGTGGAGCAAAAGAGTACATATTAATCCATCCGATGTATATTATTTCTTACATTGGTTATGCACATACAAACTCGCTCATTCACAAGCACATTACTATATCCCCTCCAACCTCATTCGGAGGGGAAAATGAATTACTTACATTTCCACAACTCCGAGGGATAGTAGGGGTTTCTTGGACATCCTGCGGCTGCTTTACAGTCTACAGAGTCCAGATTATGGGTTTGGTTGTTCAACACAGCACATTTTCCTGTAAAATGGAAAGTTATCTGACAAAATAAAACAACATTTGCTCCAAACAGAAAAAAATAATTTTGTTCTGTTTTCAAAATTAATGTATTTTTTTTTAGAGTTTATGCATGTACTTCAATCTACAGCTTTTGTGAAAATTAAAAAGCACGTCACAAATTATTTAGACTGTGATTATTGAATGAGCAGATATAAATCTTAAACCCATTGCTCTGACATGTAATTCCAATTAAGAATATTGGCAATTGATTCTTTGGATATTAAAATGAAACTGTATTTGATCTGCATATCCTGGAAAAAAGTAGGATTGGCAGAGTATGACCAAACTACTATGAGTAAATCCATTGTAAGACGAGCCAAATTCCATTTTCTTTACAATTCTGAAACTTTTTTTTAAACGTTCTGAAACCATTTATATGGTAACCACCACTACTATATAAATGGTGCCTGTTTTGGACAGTACAGTACCGACCGCACACAACCTAACAGAAAGCGAACCCGGAGCGCACCCCGGGTTCGCTCTCTGGGTCTGCTTCGGGTTTGCTCGGGGTCCGCTAGGGCTGACCCCGAGCGAACCCGGAGCGTACCCAAAGCGAACCTGTAGCGGACCCCAAGCGAACCCGAAGCGGACCCGGAGAGCGAACCCCAAAATCAGTAGCGGTCCCAGGTATTTCTTTACAAAGCAATCAGGATTATCGATTAACCAATCAGCGCGTCAACCAATCAAAATAGTATATTGATCTGTCGATTGGGATAAAAGATCGAACGTGTTGATTTAATTCGGTATAAATCTAAACATTGTACATACAAAAAAACATGTGAATGTACAGAGTAAATCTATTATGAAAATTAAAATATTATTTTATATTTATTTGTTTTAATTCCCCGGGTTGTATTTTATATTTATATATTTATTTTCTTTTTTTAATTAAAGCAAATAATAAATTTTATATTTTAATTTTCCACGTAGAATGATACATAAATATTTACGCTTTTATTTTCTTTAGTTTTTTATACCAGTATTTAAAGTCAATGGGTAAATACATCAGTCAATGCGCAAAAAAGGAAATCAATAATAAGTATTACAATTTTTACTGACAAAAAGAGGAGAGAAGAAACATAGTTGGTCTTTGACAATTAATGTAAAATTTCATCATCTAAAGATACTTAAGGAACGCGAAATTCACAAAAATGAGATAAACATAGTTTCACAGTCGATAAACTAGGTTTATTGGTTGTAAACTATAGTTTACGGACTGTACATGTAAACTATAGTTAACAACGTTAATCTATATTTTACATCCGTAAACCATAGTTAACGCGATAATCTATGTTTCACAACCGTAAACTATACTTAACACTGAAAACAAACATTTGCGATTGCAAAACATAGATTATCTGATAAATACAGTTTCACGATTTGTAAACTATAGTTTACAAACCGTTAACTATAGTTAACGATCGTATAAATATAATTTCACGATTTGTGAAACTATGATTAACAACTCTTAACTATAGTTTACGATTGTAAACTATAGTTTACAAACGTGAATCCACGTTTATCAACAAAATCTATTGTTAACGCTTATTACAGACAGATAAACTTAGATTATCATTCGTAAACTATAGAAAACTATTGTAAACAACCGTTAAATATAGTTTTAAAGATGAAAACTATACTTAACGACTCGTTAACTATAGATTACGGTTTGTAAACTATAGTTTACAGTCGATAAACCTAGTTTATCAAATGTGAAACTAGGATTATCTCATTTTTTGTGAATTTGGCGTGCCATAGATACTAACAGTACAAGAATAATTACGTGTTCATTATTTAATTATTTTATTTTCATTTTCTCAATTTACGTGTTCTTTAAAATTATTCAAAAGTCACAACAAAATTATTGATCTTCATGAAAACATTACATGTTCATGCACATTTGCCTGTATATTAAAAAAAATAGCTGCAACAGGCTTATAGAAAACAATTCAAGTACAGAATTAGGAGGACGACTCATAGAAATTTAAGAAAAAGTCATCAGGCTCTATCATTAAAATCTAATCTTACAGTGTATGAGAGTTTACAGTTATGATCTCTCTCTCTCTGGTCTTGATGTTTCCTGTATTTACTAAGTATTTAAATATTTTTAAGATGATTTTTAATTTCATTTAAATGTGTGTGAAGTAGGGGGAATATATGTATATCAATATATTCTAATCGGGCCGGGAGAACAATTATTATTTGTCATTTTTTTTCATTCTGATTAAAATCACACTCGTTCAATAATTCTGAGCGTGAAAAAGATCTGATATAATTTTTTTTTAGAAACTGTCCGGTAAATATTTATTACGAATAAATTAATTTTAATATGTAACTACTATAAATGAAATTAAATATATCACGTGTAGAAGAGGTTATTTAAAGATGCGATATCATAATTCACGTGTTTGACAAACATTTAAACTACGATTTAGCAAAACTTAAGGAATAACAAATATAATTTTAACCTAGTTATCAACTATATAACGCATGAATTTGAAAGGTATTTTGTTTAGATGCTTTCGTCAGTTTCACTTGTACACCATTCGATACATTGAAAGTCAATTCAACACATAACTAAAGAAAAATAAATCCTAAATAACTCGCTGTTAAAAAACTTCGAGTTTCTCGGGATCGAAATTCCGAGATCGGAGAAATCAACGTAAACAATTATACATGTAAATCTACGTCGAATGTACAGTTGAATTTGGACAATTTATCAATGTTCTCCATAATGTCACTGTTTACATGTACAGTGTACATGTATCGATCGCCGCATAAATAACAATGATCGATCCACAATCCAATTACTGTAAAATACAAGGGGCGGGGCTTACTGGCGGCGAGATTAAAGCGGGGTCCGCTTCACGCATCAGTACGTAAAGCGGTCCCAGAAAGCAAACGCCGGGTTCGCTCTAGCGGACCCAGAGCTGACCAAGAGCGAACGCGGAGCGAACCCGGAGCGCACCCAGAGCGGTCCCAAAATTTCTGAAAGAGAACCCGAAGCGGACCCCGAGCGAACCCGGGGTCCGCTTCCGGTTCGCTCTAGTGTTAGGTTGTGTTCGGTCGGTACTGTAGATGTACTTTTATCCACAGGGTCATAATTCCACGGAATCTCTATTTCTGTTGAATCCGCGTGTAGAAATTACGCGGATTTCCTGGACTGTTTCTATTTGCCTTACATTTATATTAAGTATGCGTGGACAAATTTTTGTGGAAAATTTGTGACCGCGTACGTAGCGTAAATTAATACCACATGGAAAAAAAGTACTTCTACAGTAATTACAAATATTAGTATAGTGCATGTGTTTAATAATTTTATTTTTTTTATATTAAGAGAGAATTATTTTTTTTCAATGATTTAAAGTTTAAAATTGACCACCTTTTCCAAAAAAAATTAATTGAAACCAGGTTAAAACATCCGAGCATTTATTTGAAATTTTCATCTACGAGGGTTGTTCAAAAATTACAAGGACTTGTTGCACAGAAAAAATATTTTACGACATATTAATCGGGCAAAATGTCACACATAATATAAAGGATCTTTACGTATATGGTTTTCAAAATTTCATATCAAAATATTGTAAATTGGTATCAATTTTGGGTGATTTATAAGGACATATCATTAAGTCATGGAGCAGCAAAATCTTCGACGTCACGCACTTTATAAAAAAAAAGCACGAGCTTTCATTTTCTCAACATTTTCCCAAGAGGTCCTGTTCAGACAAGCCATCGAAAGCACGTGTTGAAGACTCAACTATTTATTAAGAACACATAATACGTGACGTCATACACAAGACTACACATAAAGGTCACATGGTACACAAACAGCTGATAATGAATGAATGAATGAATGAAACATGAATCCGAAACAGTTCATGTACAGACAGTTTCATAGACAGATAATTACATTGTCTGTATCTATATGTTTGTATAGTACATGTGTACTGTGTCAGCCATTACTCAGAGGAATTTTATTCTGTTTTTTTTTTACTCTTTGGCTCTATAAATCTCAAACTTCTTTTTATTGTCATTGATAAAATTTTATTGATGAAATAAAATGGGATGATCTGATGATTGTTGCACGACATAATACCAAGCAGCACATTTGTATTTGTGTATAGCTCATATAGCTCGAAAAAGATTGACAGAGTGGAAAGCTACAAAATCACCAATAGAAAAGTTTATTGTATTATTCCTGTGCACTGTGAAGAATATTCACTCAAGGAATGACTCTAATTCTTTGGCCATGGGTATAACGTTTTCCAGGTATAACTTTTTTGTATCTAAAATTTTCATAACTGTATAATAGGCCGGAATACCCAGGTAACGTTTTTTTTAAGCTATAACTTTTTAAGGTATAACTTTTCATGGGTACAACTTTTTTGTAACTTTTTCAAAACTTTCCTCAGGTATACATTTTTTGTAACTTTTTCCACTGTTTTTTTTTTTGGGGGTATAACTAAAGTGTAACTTTGTAATTTATATTTATAACTTTTTGTGTAACTTTTAATAAATAAAACCTTTTGTAGTTATTACTTTTTTTGTAACTTCAATGCACTTGTTGTATTTATGTTGAATAAAAGGTGAAAAGTTAAAACAAGAGGTCCATGGGCCACATCGCTCACCTGAGCAATGTGGATAGGTAAAAAGCAGAAATCAGTTTATTATTGAAAAGTTTAAACCTAATAGTGGTCTAAACCAATCCTTAAAAGGGAGAGGATATAATTTGAATAAACTTGAATCTTCTCTAACTAAGGATGCTTGCATATTTCTTTGACTACCTGCGGCTTTACTGCCCTTCACATTTGAACTTACATTGTGGCCCCGCCCTATACCCCCAGGGGTCATGGCTTGAACAAAATTGAATCTACATTACCCAAGAATGTTTCATATGAACAGGATTAATTATGGCTTTGCTTTTCTTGAAAAGAAGAATTTTAAAGATTTTTTTTTCTACA